GATGGTGCAGATGAGAGGATGCAGTCACATATTCTAGGGCAGCCTACTTTCACATTGAAGCACTGGGAGGTTTCTTACACAAACAATGGCTTTATCTTAGTCCTGCCTAATCCAAAAGGTAGTAATTATTAAATATAGCTTACAAGGTTTGGGGTTTTTTATTCTTAATACTAGAAAAACAGATTCAGTTTTTGAAACAAATAGAAATATCACTTCTCTCCAGAGATCTTGTTTTCTTAACTCAGAAATAATGGAGAAAAAAAGCATAGCTGAAGCAAACAGAAGGACTGAGAACTCTTGCTTGTTTGAAAGGTTTTAAATTCAGACCACTTATGAGTGGGTCCTACTGATCTCAGTGGAGATTGAGGAAGTTATTTGTCCATAAAAAGGAGAGCACTATTTTCAGAAGATTATACTCTTTAAATGCATTCCCTCAGCTCCCCAAGGAACAGAGGCAGACAGGGTCCAGGGTATGCCTTTGAACTCCTGGGTATTTGACTTGGTATACACAGTCACAGAGCTGCAGGTAGTTCATTTTGGATCAGGCCTACAATCAACTGGGAAATCTCTTTTTATTGTTGTATGCTCAGATATCACCATGATCCAAGTCCCTGGGCTGATCAGTGTGAATAGCTAGGGAATACATGTATAACCTCTCCTGATTATCATGCAGCTGTACTGTGCAGTAGCTTTCCTCCATTTACTTTCTCATTACCTGTTTAATGTTCCTCTGTCTCTCTCCTTTTGAAAGGAAAATCTTCTTGACCTCAATCAGTGTTTCTTCAAACTCCTTCCTCCCCCTCCTCTACCAAGTCCATGCTTCTTCGTCAGCCTTTAATGCTCATTCACTAGGGCGGATTGCCCTTGATCACCTGCTGTCACTCTCCCACCCTGTCAGAACATTTCCTGTGCCAACATACCAAGCTAATCTTCAATACTGACATCTTACATTCAGGCTAGCAGTGTTAAGCAAGGGCAAGTATTTGCTTTCAGAAGGCAGCCAGAGGTGCCAGGATGGTTACTGCCTTTCCTGATTTAATGCCACGAAGTTTTACTCTCACTCTTGCTCTTTGACTTTTGATTTTATGTTGTAAAAATGAATGTGTGACAAGGGGCATGGGGGATCTTTACCAGGATTTGTCTGATTTGGTTTTTTCCCCTCTGAGGTAGCTCCCACAGAGTCATATGAACCATAATGCAGTCGTAGCAGGCAACAGCAGATTCTGTCAGTGGACCTGCACTTTCACAGACAATCAAAGGCAAAGGGAACCTCTCCATTAACACAGATAAAAGATGTCTGCATGTGTCTTGCACCACCACCACAGCAGCAAACACCAAACTTTTGAAAACCAGCTCTGCCCTGCAACATGGAGGCTCTGCTGTTGGTAGAGAGAACAGCTTCCCCTCTGCCACAGAGGCTTTTGGCAGCTCAAGGGAGTTGTGTAGGTTTTGGATAAGCAATCTTTATAACCCTGAAGGGCATTTTTTGTGTAAAAAAAACAATATATTTGGTGCTTGTTCTGTGGCACATGCCTGGAGGGCACTTCTGTAAGTCCAGGTATTGCCTTGGACACCTCCAAAAGCAGCTAAGAAGACATTAAAAAAGTATTAGAATATCAATCAAAAAGGGCATAGGAACACCTGGGCTCACCTTTTAACAATTTCACAGTTTCAGATACCCACAGGCTGGAGAGGTACAAAACTCCCCACCATAAACACACTTCAACTTTGGTGCTAATGAAGATTTTGCCAGCCTAAGAGGGGAAAGGAATGGCTCTTCTGGAGGCTGGAAGTGCACATATCTGTAGAGAGCACACAGATTTGCAGAGTGTATCTCGTCCTCTGTGCTACTCTACAACAGATCCTTTCCTCTTCCAGTAAAGAATCTGTCCAAATAGTTTCTGACAAGGAAGATGAAAAAATTCAAGCCTCTATATGCCTGAGGCTACCAACAGCTAAAGTGCATTTTGGCCACAGTAATTTTAAACCTAAAAATGTGAATGAAGAACTTTTCCTCCTTGATCTCAACATATATGCTCATTTTGCAATTTGCATTTCCCCCACATTTTGAAAATTCATTTACTAGGCACAGGGGCAGAAGACCCAGATTCAAACAAAAAGACTCTTAAGCTGCCAGCTTACTGGCAGCTCCTGCTTCAGATTTATAACCTCATTTTTCAGTACAGGCCAAACTAAGTTTCACCCTTTGCAATACCCCAAACTTCTCAGCATTTCACAATAGCCATATGTTATTAGAAAAGCAAACACCAGCTTGTGTTACCCACTGATTACCCCAGCCCAAAGTTCCTAGCTACCCAGAGCTTCCAGTGAACTTGTCATTAACCTCTTAAGTCCCCTTTTAAAGCCCACCAGGTCCCCAGCTGCTGGGCTGATTTACTCAGCCCACAGCCAAGGACAGCCAGGAAGGTTAATGGTATTTCTCACTTCCTTCAGCTCCCTTGCTGGCACAGTGGGATCCCCACAGCCTCTCACACCACTTGTTCTTGTGCCAAAACTGCTCTTTAGCTTAACATAAATGGCCCATTTCCCTTCCTGCTACTAACTCTTCTGAATTACTTATGAAGAGCAATAATATAAACTCTACAGGCTTCTGCTGAGCTAATTACTCTTGAGCATATTCCCTCACAGGAGAGTGACTGCCCCCAGCCATCACCTTTGACTCTGCTCCAGGCTGGCCATGTCTCTCCTGGCTGAGAGGGGCTGGTATAAGGCAGCAGGGATGAGATCTCTCCAGAGATTTCTGCAATAGCATTAATAAGCCTTGCTCTCTGTAGAAGTACCCTGCTTAATAGATTTTGTGGTCACCCTTTTTATCTTCACAGCCAACACATCTCCGTGGCTCATTGTCACATTGTGACTAATAAAACCAAGACTTTACTCCACCTCTGTCATTCACAGCTGATGAACTCAAAGACATTTCCATGATTAATCACGAAACACAGGCTGTCCCTTTGCTGTTAGATGAATTTGCATTTCTGGCCCTCGTGCTCATGCATTATGCATTCACACTATATCCCAGCCCTCACCCTGCTGGCATCCCCCCCAGTCTGATGTCAGTACTGGGCTGCACTATCTCCTGCCTTGCACTTCTTCCAGGGCACAGCAGTGTTAAATCTGATCCCAGAACAATTCCATCATTAATTTCCTTCCTTGCTGATAGCTTTTTCTCCCAGAGCACACACAGCCACTCCCTCTCTGGAGCCAGGAGTGGCCCAACAACTGTGAACCCCAGCATGAACACAGCATCTTCTGTAGGGGAAAGAATCTGGCAAAGGCCAGACCAGGTGCCCAGATCTCCCCAGCTGGACTCTAAGCAAGACTCTCCACATGTCCTGTGGTGCTGTCCAATGGATCTGGTTCTGCCCACCATGGCCAGACCCTGTGGGCCTGCACCCACTGTTGAGGGCACAGCTCATGTTCTCATCCTCCAGCTTGTCCACCCCTCTGATGGAGCCACCAGCCCTTGTTGTGCCCTGGCTGCTCTGTCATGAGCTGGGTGTGTGTCTCTTCAGCTTTGGAATACACCTGGCACCAGGAGAGCCTGAGGCCAGCTCCGTGCCAGCTTCTGCTTCACTTGCCTTCCTTCTTATTGACAGAAGAGAAAGGTAGCTCAGCCCCACTAAATGATTCCCTTGGTATAAAAGAGTGATTTTCAGCAAATGAAGAATATTTTTTAAGCAGCCAAGTGAGACATCTGAAGGGACAGTCACCTTTCTAAAGTATAAATTAAATTACATTTTGGGAGAGAGGATAGGTTACTTGTCAGGTAGGCTTTACACTAATTATACAACTTAAAAATTTGTGGGTTTAGAGTATTGCCCCTAATTTTTATGCAGCTGTCTTGCTTTGGTCCACACTTAGTGGAAGCACAATGCATTGTTAAGTACCACAGTAATTTGTGATAACTGAGTGCAAGTCTTCCTCCCTCATTATTCACAAAGCTGAAAAAAAATATTTCTATGCATTTTTGCATTTTGCTTTTTCTAAACACTGGTGTCTTTCCTTGCTGCATTTAAACTGTCTGGAAGTTCATCTGGCCATTGGGGGGTGTGTGGGTGTGGGTGTGGGTGTGTGTGTCCCTGCCCAGTGTGTATTATTTCAAAGTTGACATGATGACAATAGCCACTCAAGGATGGCAGCAAATAAGACATCTGTTTTCCCCTTGCTTGCAAGACAGCAGTCAGATGTGGGCTGGTAACAGGGTGCATTACCTTTAGACTCCAGGTCACTGCTTTGCCTCTGATCCTTATCAAAAGTGACCACAACTTGTTATCTGCCTGTACATCACTAACCTAGGAAAAGGCATCGATGCTCTTTCTTTAAGTCCTGTTGACAAATATCTGCACCACAATCAGCCAAAGCAGCAAAGACAGACTGGACTGAGTGGCTTTCTCAGCCTGTGGTGGAGGTTCAGCAGGTCAGTGCCAAGGGAGCTCCAGGCAGGCTCTCTTGCTGCAGACCTCCAGCACCATATTTTGGTGCTCAGGCATGAATCATATTTTGATATAGATAAAAATAGCAGTAAAACAAAGCAAATTTGCACAGGGTGCAGCTTTTCTGTTGTTTTCTGGAGCACTGCTCATAGAAATCAGTGCCCATTTACTATTTTAAGAAAAGGTGGGCTAAAGAAAGGAAACTGTAGGATAAAATACAATAATTTTCAGGGGCCTTGGAGTCACAGAGTAAAGTGATAGTTCATTGTTTGTCTGCAATGTATGCAACCCTGGGCTTTGTGCTGATTTTGGCTGGTTTGTGCTGCATCTACACATATATCATGCCAAAAATGCCAGCCAGCTGTGCTACATTTGCAATGTAAAACACTATACATTTCATTTTTACTTTCTCTGTGTATCTTAAGATAAGGCATAGGCAAGATTTAAACTGGGAGGAATTTTGTTATTAGCATTGCACAATTTCACTGATTAACAGCAATAAAACTAATAAAACAACTATTAATAAATATCAGATCATCAGCATTAGCCATTTTAACCACATATAATTATCAGTATCTTTTTCAATTTCAGTTTATCACAATTACCATATTATGCATATAGATCACTGGATTTGTTTGAAGTCTGTATGGCTGTCAAAATGTAACCAGAATTTAATCCCAGTAAAAGGGCATATTGAAGACCTCCATTTGTGCTGATTGAATCATACATTAACCCAAGAGAACAGAAGGTCTGAAATCACTAGCAGGTAGTTAATGATTATGCTTTCTATTGTCTCCTGATATTATCTTAAAAATGGCCATGTCAAGAGGCCTAGAAATCCCTCAGAGCACCTTATGCTTTTTTATTTTCAAGCATTCTATGGTAGCGTATGATCAGAGACAGAGAGAGAAATATGAATGAAATTATCTATTACATGTAAAAACATTAGGGCCAAAATCTGCATTTTTTAAAGTCGGTTCTCAGTCTGGCAAATCTCCAAATGCTTTCAGGCTGAGCTGTTGCTGAAGAAATTATTTCAGAGCAAAGCAGGAGCAAGCAGACTGAAATATCCCACCAGTAGTAGACAGATATTTATTTCAGGAAGGTATCCCATGGGCTTTGGTGGGAAGAGCACAGGAAGAGCTACTAAGGCTTCCCTCTGGACCCCTGCCCTGGCAGGGTCACAGCAGATGTTTGGGCAGAGCTGCTTGCAAAGGGCAAGCAGGAGTCTTTCTGCTCCTTTAGTGGTGGGCAAACACAGGCCTCAAGAAAAAGGTATCTGAACTCCACCAATCTACATGTGAATTGCATTCAGTTTTACTGGTGCAGAAAGATTTTATGGCCTTGAAATTCAAAGAATTTCAGAATCAATCCATCTTAAAGCAGGGTAGATTTTTAGCTGATAGCACCAATATATATTTGGGTTTACAAGACTCTTTAGAAGGTTCAGATGCTGGCTGCCCTTGCTGCAGCAGCAAGTCTCTGCTGGGATGTGGGAGCATGGCAGGATACCCAGGGTAGAGAGGCTGTAGGGGCACAGGGCCTGGAGCAGCATGGGTATGGGTGAGCAAGAAGGCAGGGCCTTTCAGGGAAGAGAGGATGCCAGCACATCTTTGGCTCAGACACTTCTACAGAACCTAGGCTGTTATTTTATTGAGGTGCTTTAAAAAATGCATGTCGTTTGATAAAGTGATGATTAATCTTCATTATACTGTGAACATACATCTCTGTGATCATCCTAGCAAAAAGCTGCACTTGTATGTCTGCTTATCATTTCTTATGAAAATCTTAATGGTAAAGAAAGACTTGATTGATTATTAGATTTTTGTCATCAAATCCCATTTTTGTTTGCATGCAGAAAAAAGAAAAGCCTCACTTTTGAGGGAAGAGGGAAACAAAGGAAGCACAATAGCTGGGCAGTATTTCTGACATTCATGTAATGCGGTGTATGTCCTTATGTGACATTTATGTGAGAGAAAAAGAAAAGCATCGATTGAAAAAGGTTACAAGAGTTCTTCAGGCATGAAGTCATCTCCAGGCAGCACAGTCACTGCAGTTTATAAACAGGTTCTGCTCTCACCCACTGCATTCACAGACTTAGGGCACCATTTAACACATTTGCTTGCTTACACTTCTTTAATACGCAGCTTTGATTTTCCTTTCCAACAGTAGCATTGAAGCAGGAAATTAAGCCAATTGCTGATTTTAGGAAAGGTGTTTGCATCCTCTGCCCTTGCCATCCTGTCTTCCATAGAGGAAAAGGGCACTGCACTGAGGAGCTGAGCATTGGCATGGGGAACTTTGTCTCCAGTTTGCAGGGGAAGTGCAGCCGGCACTCAGGTGGGGTCTTCTTCTCTCATCCCCAGGCACGGCTTTCTGTGAAACTGGGAAGTCAGACAGATGGACACAGGATGCAGATGCAGACAGAAATGGCAGTGAGGATCACCATTTAAACTCTGTACCAGTTTTAACTTTGTAAAGAAAAAAATCCAAAGCCTTCCTTTAAACAATCATTACATTAACATCTATTTCAGTAGCAGTCATTTTGCTTATTGTTTACCTCCAGTTTTTAAACATTGGGATTGACTCATGGCATTTCTTGAGGTTCCTTTTATTTCTACAGGCATGGCACCTACAATATTAGCTTAATTCAGCTCAGACCTTGTTGTCCTGCGAAAAGGTATGCAGACATCCTCACAGTCACTAGGTTTGGCAGATCTTGCACAGACAAGGTTTCTGAAGATACAAGTCCATGTACAGTGGCATAACCAAAGATCTGTGAAAAAATTGGCAATATATTGATAGACAATCACAGCAGAGAGGTGGACGCCTCTCCATTTGCAACCCTTGCCATGCTGTCTAACTTGTCTGAGGTGGCCTGGGACATCAGGTGGTCCCACTTCATGGCTTGGTGTGGAAAACAGCTGGTTTTTAGAGAACACAACACTTCTGAGTGAAGGTGGCTGTGTAACAGTGCTGGAGCTGCTCCTGCAGTTTCTTGGCATTGGCATGAGTTTCCCAAGAGCACAAAAGGTAGGAGTGCAGCTGCCTCCTCTTGACTCCTAGGCATAATCTGTGCTTGCAGATGAAATTGTCTCTGTCAAAAGATAAAAAAGATGCATGATAACACTAGCATCTTCCAGCTTATTTAACTGCTTATAAGTCTAAAAGAAAGGGTAACCATGAAAACACAGGCTTTTACATGGCACATAGACAACACAGAAGCAACTTAATCCCCCAGGCAGGTAACAATGAATGCATGAAACATTGTGTCATGAAGTTGTCTAAGTTCAACTGGTCCTTAGTGTCTCCCCCAGTATTATTTTGCAGAGTGTGATGAAGCATTACTTGACCAGAGTGACCACAGGCCTACCTGCACATGTGGCAGCACTGCCAGCCATAACTGCTTCCACTTCAGACATGTCTTCTGTGCAATTTTATTTGCATGAGAATCTGGAAAAGAAAACCTTTTAACCCTCACATCCAAAAGGAAAATAATACACTGTGCAATGTGTAAAGCTGTGTTCAGTCAGCATCGTACAACATAGCATTTGCTACTGCAGAAAGCAACACAGGTATTTATTGATGTATTATTTGAACCTAGATGTATTTATAATTTTATTATAAATCTTATTTATTTCCTCTTACAGGCTGCTGTTTTTTCCACAGTCTTGCAAATGCATTCCTGTTTCTCTTTTTTTCCCTTTCATTCCTGAATTGAGCATATCATCTTCCACTTGCTGAAACTAAAGATGTGTAACACTTCTCCTTCGCATGCCCTGGACAGCCTACTCCTGTCTTCTTTAATTCCAAGAATTCTCCTTAAGGAAACACCCAGGTTCCAGGGAAATTCTTTATGAAACTCGTGATTATGAGTGAGGGTGGCAGGACTGTGTCTAATGACTCACAGGTGCAAAGCTGTACAGCCATGGAAAACTGCTTAAAAGCCGCTTGTGTGCCTGTGTGAGAAAGTCTGAAGTGAAACACTCCTCCGAGCCTGCAATTGAAAATCTCACGATGGAGCTTTGCAAGTCTGTGAAGAGGTGGAACAAAAGCC